TCAGAAAAGTCGGATTTGATGCGCTTTCGCCTGCAGTGGGAACGTAGCCTATGAGACCAAAAAAAAGGCTTTCCAAGAAATTTGAACTCTTCCGGTTTTTGGTTTATTACCTACACAGCAAAATCTCCAGTGTTAAATTAACACTATAGAGTGTCTATATGGGTCCACACCTCTGAGTGTTAAATTAACACTTTTGACAGTGTTATATGTTTAAAAGTAACCCAGTCAGTTTTGAAGATTAACAAAGACTAACACTGAGCAGTGCTGATTTTCTAACACTGGAAAATAACTCAAAATGTTAGAAATATTCCAGTGTTAGAAAATCAGCACTGCTCAGTGTTAGCCATTGTTAATCTTCAAAACTGACTAGGTTACTTTTAAACATATAACACTGTCAAAGTGTTGTATTTAACACTCAGAGGTGTGGACCCATATAGACACTCTATAGTGTTAATTTAACACTGGAGATTTTGCTGTGTAAAAACAACCAGAGTGAATGTTGCTGGTTGCAAAACCTCCCATGCCTCCAGCAGATCATATCGACATATAATATTTGTATAGGCTCCAAAGCACCTTAAGACTTTGTTTTTCCCTTAAAGACCTCCAAGAGTCATCCCCTCCTCCACTATGTCATCTCCCCACAGCAAAGGTTAAAAAGCAGCACTCAAAGAATCCACAGTTATATTTGTTTATTACCAGATGATTGCACACAGGGTTCTAGCTGTACAGCAGGAACAGAACTTGGAAATAAGGTAAGAAATTAAGGGATAAAAGATTATCCTGTGAGTATACATCACTCTACCTTTCGCTCCAAAGCACATACACACACACAGTGTGTGAAATGATTTGTATAATAAATATGCATACCGGTTTCATGTTTTCCAGTTACAACAGTGTAATCAAAATGAACATGTAGATAAGTAACATGCACTGGAGGATATCTGAGCTGGGTAGTTTGTTGAGCCAGAAATACATGCACACGCAGATAAACATAAAAAAATCAGCTGTAGCACAGATTTAAATAAAGCCCCATCTAACAGAAGCCTGGTGTCTTACTGCAAAGTGCTCCACGCTCAAGTGCAAAAATAAAGAGTCTAAATGAAGAGCTTCTTCCTTCAACAAATACCAGTCTCTCCATCTCAAACACACATACACACAAATGTGTACTTCTGTAAAAAACAAAACAAAACATAGGAAGCAGGTCATCTTTATTAACTTTATAAATACTCCCCGTCAGCTACAGTCACACAAAGTCAAAAGCATGTGGTTATCTTCCTGCGTCCAGACTGCTGGGAGCAGTAAGGCTCATCACATCTTCCAGTTTGTGGCCACTCCGTAGCAGCGCTGTACTGTTTCCATCAGGGATGCTGCATCAGAGCTGCAATGCACGTTCATCTTCCTCTTTACATGTCAGCAAAATGAGGTGTACAAATACAGCTCCTCCCTACCACACCAAAAACTACAACACAGTTTAGAAGAGCATCCTGGTTTAAGTCTTTTCTGTAATAATACGTCGTCTAAATCTCTTACAGTCGTCTGACTCACAGCATGTGGACATTTCATTCTTTATACCATCTGCTTGTCACCACACTCAAAATCTACCAACCACACATCAAATGGTTTTTGACAATGGTTTGGAAACTATTCATAAAAGCAAATATTTGGTCTCTATGGATCGTTCCTACCTTCATAGCTGTATTGCAAGTGAATTTCCGAATAACTCCAGTTTTATTAAGGCTTAATGTTAGAGGTAAGGTCGCTTTCACTATGTGCTGACACAACCGGCTGTAGCTGGTATCTGTCTGTTCGACCTTACTTCCCCCAGCTGAGTCACTAAAACTGGACCTCTCAGCCGTGAGCGTGCTAATAAAATGATCATGCGGTACAGACTGTATCAGAAGTTCATCCTCCAGCTTTAGTGACTGGAATTCTAATAATATTATAGCCTCTTAATTAGCAAGTATGTGTATCAATGCACCGCATCTATGCATTTTAGCTGATATCTTATTACAAAAGTCTCAGGTCTAAATATGCTAACGTCTGGCTCCAAAGAATCAACATGGCACCAGCCAAAGCACTATAGCTAAAGGCTTTAAAATGAAGAATCCACAAACCAATGGTTGATATCACAGTCGCTTCATCCATCTTTTATATACAATATAAATTAAAGATCGGTGTGTATAAATTGCAGAAAACCAATCCCTACCAACACTCTTTTGCAGGGATTAGTGCTGTCCAAGTTAGTTTGAAGAAATGCAGACATGAATTTTTGCCCTACACTGAACGATAATGGTTGCAGCTGACCATACTCCAGTGGTGCACAGTGCTAGGGATGTAGGTCTGGATATACAAATAATCCTCCAGCATCACACTAGCTAATAGAGGCTAGTATATATTCTATACCTGAGTATCAGCATCATGAAAACTACATTTGGGGCAACCAATGCTAGGAATGGGCTACATAGCTTATAGTAAGGTTAGGATTATGAATCACATTCCTTGGTAAAGCAATTTGACAAACTAACCAGCTGTAACAAACACTTTAGTTACTAAAGCTGATAAAGTAATTTTAAGTTAAGTTCAGCTAAGTTACCATCAGCCCGAGGAGTTTGAATGCATCACTCATCCTTATCCAAATCAAACTAGCATTTTGTTACATGGGCTAGCTTGCAATTTGCACATGTTAGCAGGAACGCTAGTACTGATAAAAAAAAACAAAAAAAAAACAGAGGAAAGACAGAAAAAACAAATGTTCCTACTATAAACTGAATGCCCTGGCAGTAGAATACTGACAGTAGTTTCAGAGTTTACATTTGTGAGAGAGAACTAACATTCCTCTAGCTAATGTTAGCTCACGTTAGCATCCCTGCCAAATTTCTTGTTACTAAGTATAAAAGCTAGTTGTTTAGCCTCAGCTGATTTGCTATTGTCACTAGCAAAATATTATGTGAAGTTACATAAATGTTTTTTTTGTCTTTATGTGAAGTTTGTGAAGACCTTGATGTTTGTTGACATTCCTGGATTTGACTTCTAAGCTAGCACCAGCAGCTCTATATGTAGTGGTTTACACATTTGCCTAACACGTGAATGGTTGTTGGTATGAGACCAAGAGTACAGTCTATCTCTGCCTCATAAAGGGTATAAAATTCTGCCAAATCAGAAACACAGAGCCATCTGCTGTGGCGACCCCTGGTTAATAAGGGAGCAGCAAAAAGGAGCTGTTTCTTTAAAGCTACCCTTAGCTAGTGTTGGCACTAGGAAGGGAAAACAAGCAAGGCACTTGGGAGTATAAGCATCTCATCTTATGGACTTCTGCAGAAAATGGAGGTCTGGATTAAAAAAAGAAGAAGGTGGTAATTTTAATAATATTATTATCAAAATTGGCAGCACTATTGCCTTTCAGCAAGAAGGTCCTGAGTTCAATTCCACCATCAGGCCGGGGTCTTCCTATGTGGGTTCTCCTTAGGTAGAGGCTCCTTCCTCCCATAGTTCAAACACATGCAGTTAGTGGGGTTAGGTTAACTGGTAACTCTAAATTGCCCATAGGTGTGAATGTGAATGGTTGTCTGTCTCTATGTGTTTGTCCTCTGACAGACTGGTGACCTGTCCAGGGTGTACCCTGCCCTTTGCCCTAAGACAGCTGTGATAGGCTCCAGCGACCCTGACAAAGAATAAGAGGATGGATGGATAACCAACATCTAACTTTCTGCATTGGAGACGTTACAGTCCTACAAGGTGTGACATCAGCTGCTTGCACATGAAAATTTCAAGTTTCTAATTAATGTTAGGATACATGTGTCATCAAGGGAGTATGCCAAGTTATAAATCATTTACTGATTAATTACTACTCATAAACACAGTTAGCTAATTTACACTTATTTTATTAGAAAACTGATTTTTCCCAATTCAAATGTATTATTGACACAATCTTTGTGAAAACTAAAACATCTAGAAATTGTCTATACAGAGATGTAAATAAATAATTTAAATAATTTAGCCATTTAGCTCTCGTCACTCATCACTGAGGACACAGTATAAAATATGGATGTAGCTTCCTGTTAGGAAAAATGAAGCCAATGTGGAAGTGCCTGTAAACCTGCATTCATCTCAAGGGAGCCGATGATGATAGCTGTGGTTGCAAAAAAGATTTCCAGTCCTCTGGAGGCACTTTGCTGCCGAGTTCAGTCACTCGATTTGACGTCATACTGAATAAAAAATGGAATCGATTTTGTAAGGTGATTATGCCACGTTTCAAAAAGGAGGATTAGCTCGTTGGCTAATGACTGCCCAGTTGGCAAGTGGATTCAGTCAGGCCTGCCCCTCTTTGTCACATGTCTGGAAACCAGTTCCACATAGAGCGTGTTTGCTTCAGTGGAGATGGGAGTTCAGTGTAAGCCAGACTAGCTGCTCTGTCTGAACGAGCACCATCCCAGAGGCAGTAACGTTAACCCTGACTGGTTAGATGTATAGATCTGCTCAGCATACAATGTTGGAAGTAATAAAGTAAGCAGCTGAACCCTGGCCACCTCTTCCTTTATGCCACCATGCTTCTCACTGTGACAGTTATGTTTAATCCTCCAGCCCAATAGATGGCGCTCTAATCAGCAGTGTGTTAGCACAGGCTACAGTGACTGCACAGCTGCTAGAGTCAGTATTAAGCATTGAGTACCCACTACATTTATTGTTTATGCCTTTGTCCACTTCACTTTGCCACGAGTTCAAAACAAGCACCTTCGAGGATTCTTACGACTGGGCTTCTGGCAGGGAGCGGCCGGGCTCACACGACACAGAGGGCCCCGCACCCACTAATCCATTTGTGTTGTGACACAGTAATGTTTTGGTTGTGACTGCTGACGACGAAGCGCTGCCACCAGTTATGGTACCGTTGAGGTTCCGGTAGGGCCGCTGCCGTGGTAACGAAGCCCTTCTGCGGGGGGCAGGTATGGCAGCTGAACCACGGAGGCACACCGAAGGGAAACTCAGGCCTACCAGGCAGCAGCCTGGACAGGAAATTGCCTCGTCCTGCTCAGAGGGCCCCCTTGGGTCTGAGGACAGGGCTCCACTGTAGTCACTTGAGCGGCCTCCTCGACCCCACTGCACTTGCTGACTGATTACCAGGCCTGAGCCGTTGTTGTTGTTGAGTCGTGGCAGAGGAGGCAAGGCAGACGTTGAGAAGGGAAGCCGCCAGCCCTTGGTCCGTATGGAGTTGCAGGAGGTAGAGGTGAGCAATGGTCTTTCAGGTGTAGCGTTCACGATCCTGTCTGTTGCCTCAGGAGATTTGGTGCAGTCCATGGCTTCTGTAAAACTTATGCTCTCCTCCTCTTCTTCGTCATCTTCCTCTTCCAATCGCTCCAGAGACACCATTTCCAATTCTACAGGAAAACCAGGATCCTCTGCCACCTGTATTTCCTTTCCAAAAGACTCTCTCCTCACACTTGGCTCATGTCTCATGTCTGCATGGTCAACGTGCAGCCTTCCTTGTATTCTCTCTGAAACCTTCGTCCCCTTCCTTGTGTCATCCTTCATATCCTCCCACGTCCTGTGCTTCATGGCCGCCTCTCGAGCGTCCTCATCCTTTTTTTCTTCCTCCCCCGCTGCGTGTCTGGGCAGAGCCACAGTCCGGCTGAGCTCTGGGGTGCAGGGCAGAGACTGGCACCTTCTTGGAGGCACTCTCATCCCTGACGCTTTTTTAAGAAGGTGGGGGGAGGTGCACATGTCAGGAAGTGCAGGTAGGGTAAAGGTCAGCGAGATGACGGACTTGCTGGGAGTGTCCAGCAGTTTGCACCGTCCTCCGTTTAAGTCCTGTCTGAGAGAGAACGGGTTGACCCTTGCTGGGGTCCCGAGTAAAGGAGAAGGCAGGCTTCCTGGAGGTATCGTGTCTGACTGGCTCCTGGCCAAGCCTTGCCATAGCTGAGTGTGGTCCGCAGGGTGATAGGGAGAGCTTCGGCATCGGTACGGGCTGACGTCTGCTGCCACAGGCTCTAACCAAGGGAAACAAGGTGGAAGATGGAACAAGAGTCAGAGAGCACGACAGGTCACGAACCACAGAAAATACAAAGACAACATAACGTGTAAGAACATTCTTTTTTTCACTGGCAGCAAGGCGGCATCACCCCGTGACAAGGTCTCGCTATGCTCCTCTGTCTTCTCTTTGCCCTCACCTCCTACCAGCTGCAGCCAACGGCTGCTCTGTCCTCAGCCTCGTTCTGCTGGAGCTCATTATTATTGCACTGGTATCATTATCCCTCGTGTCACTCACAGGGTAACGTCACATCGTTGGGTTCTTTTTAAATTTTTGACAGGAGATAGATAAAACGGAAAATAATACCTCACTGTAACTGCTCTTTACCTGCCTCTTCTACAGTGCTGCAGCTCCAGTGGTGGCCAATGAGCCGGCCCCAAAAGTGAGGCAAAAAGTACATAAAGTACATGCAAATGAAAAATACATGAGTCTGAAAAACAGTCTGCAGTGTAAAGACCTGACTAGGCTCCATCCTGCAAAGCTGATCCATCAGCTTCATTGGTCAGAACACCCTGAGGTCTGTTTGTTTTAATCCGTGTCTCAAAGTATTCAGACCAGCATAAAGGTTTGAGGACCGAGCTACAAACATGTTTATTATTCTGTAAGGTCTTTCCTTGATGTGAAAAAAATATGAGCTATAATTTCATAGTTTCATGTATGTTTCAGACAGCAACTCAACATATATAGCTGTGACTTATTTATGTGCTACAAACATCCTTAAACATCCTTTAAGACTAACGATAGCATGTTAAAGCTTTACGGTCAATCAAAGGCAGCAGGTGAGGTTTTGTCTCCTTGTTCAGAATCCAGCTGTAGTAAATAAAACTAAGTAGAAGCTCAGTTTTCACAAAAACTACAGTTTTACTTTGGATTTTTACTTTTCGAGTTTTTGCTAGAACATGTTAGCATCCCTAACATCATCAGCAGCCTCGTTCCAATGCAGTGCAGTTTTCAGCAGCAGCATGGCAGCTGGGCTCAAGCGGTGACAGCATGTGTAGTTCTGTATTATACATCTTTGTTGATTAAAACATGAGAACAACAATGCAGCAAGATGAAACACGAAACCCGGTTAGCTGTGGCCGTGATGTCTGAACATGCTTCAAAGCATCGCAGGGACACATCAGGGCTTTAACCTGCTCTAAGACCCAGAGAGAGTGAAACATTCAGAACAGTAGAACTTTAAAAATAAGTAGATAAAAAGGGTCTTTTTACCAAGTGCAACAGGCGTCTCTCCCTGCTGCTCTCTCTCCAGGGCCTCCAACGTGAAGACGATGTCAGAGAACGAGGGTCGACTCTCTGCATTCATCTGAAACGACACAGACGAACAGAGCCACGGTTTAGGATGCAGACAAAGCTTCAGTAGCTCCCGGTCGTGTTTGGGTTGTGACACGCTGTGCGTATACTTACGTTACAGCAGGTCACGGCGAGATTAAAGAATGCTGGTGGGCAGTCCCCGGCCATGTTCTCGAATGCATCCACATCCAAACCAAAGTCCTAGAGACAAACACACAGCTGGGAGAGTTAGCAGTTTCAAAATGCTTCAGGTCAAAGCTTTAGCCTGGATTAGGTCTGACATGTCCCACGCCGTATGACTGGTTTTGGGTATACGTGAGCTAACCCTGTGTATCTCTAGCTCAGGTGGGCCGACTACTAATTGGCAGGTTGGTGTTCAGCCTGCATATCACAGGACGCTGAACCTCCAGTTCCTCGATTGCATCCCTCACAGTGTGAATGTTAGATAAGGTGCAGAGCAAAGTGCTGTATGAATGTGCGTGACTGTGGGGACAGATTTATTTCCTACCTCTGTCCTCGGTAAAAAATCAGGATCAGCTTCAATCCGGCCAATGATCTCACACAGGATGATGCCATAAGCAAACACATCCACCTAAGAGAGAGGAGGTCCCGTTAGTTCTGGCTGTGTTAGGGCTCCAACTAGATTTCATACAGAAGTAAAATTCAAAACCAGACGGATGAAACTAACTCTTAACATCATCAGATGAACATGATGTCTTTGATCAGTTCCATGTGAAACAGGCAGGTATTCACTCATACAGGTCGAGGTGGCAGCATCGTGCCCTGGAGCTAGGTTGCTGCCAGTTGTACTGGAAACAACCTGCTAATAACAAATTATTCAACTTCACCAGTTGAAACATGGATAACAAACATACACCAAAGCTACTTTTGGAATTGATAAAACAGGAGACTAAGCTTCTGGAACAGCATTCCCAAAGCCCTGAAATCAACCTTATTGGAAACGTGTGGACTAAGCTTAAAAGCGGGACTTTGGCAGGAAACCAACTCACTTAAATGAGCTCTATGAAGTCTGCCAAGACCAAAAACAAACAACCTGGAGAATTTGGGGGCAGAGTCTAATGGTTGGTAACTTTAAATGCAATTACACAAACATGACCTTATGATTGACAGTTACACTGTGGTAGATTTCATTTTACAGTAGGTTTGTCTGGGAAAGTTGTTAGGCTGCTTTGGTACAGTTAATGTTAAGTAGAAGTATCCATTCAGTGTAGCCCTTATTAAGGTTTCCCCAGTCTCACGTTTGGATCGATACTGATCAGGTATCAGGTCTTTGATGACGTGCTATGATGTGTGCATTGATTCTGACATGGAGAGCTAAGATGAGACGACGGCAAAGGGCTGTATAAATGTTATTTATACAGCGTCAAATCAGAACAACAACTGCCTCAGGGTGCTTTATATTATAAGGTAGAGACCCTACAATGATATGACCTCTATGAGCAACAGTGCTTTGGCAACAGTGGGGGAAAACCCTCCTTTTTAACAGGAAGAAACCTACAACAGAACAACGCTCTGGTAGCAATCTGCCGTGACTGGGTGGGTGGGGGGTAAGACAAACATACAAAGGGATCTTTTAGCTGCTTTGTATGTTTGCAATAATGTCTGCAATAAATTTCATCTTAACTGCAAACTTGACGTGGCTGAAAGAGGAAACGGCAACAATGCGTTTCCTATCAGCGTCTGACTCTGACTGGGGTCCCTGTCAGCTCAACTCCACATGCAATTGGTGAACGGTGTTGAACTCAGAGTGAGATTAAGAAGGAACATTTCAAACTAAGAGAAAGGAATAACCTTCATTTTTGGTCATCTGTTGGAAGAACGCTCAGCCACAGACTGTGGAAACACTTCACACATGCTTTTATGGTTTCAGGGGGAGTCAGAACTGAATTCTGAATCTATTACTTGTTGTAACTTTGTTGCGATTTATTGTTTTGATAACAGCATTTTGGTTATGTGGTAAATGATTTCTTGCCAGCCACATATTTAGCGAGAGCTGTTAATTATAGATTTCATTTTCTGCCAAAAAAGAGCATTTAATACTTATTTTCATTCGAGACTTCATTTCCCAGGATCCTTTGTTGTAGAGATGGAAGTTATTCATATTTAACTAAAAGGTTTGCGGGACCCATTATGATATGTTGCTCTGATGTTGGTCAGTTTTTGTGTTGTACACCCTTTTTCGAAGTCTTATATAAAGACTATCGCTTCTATAACTGATGTCTGACCCATTTTTCTTGGATCAGTGGATTTGCCACAACATTATGTGGCTTTGCTTGGCTGCTTATACTGAGAAATGTTCCTATAGTTACACATTGTTGTAGCAGCTGCTAGTTACAGCACACAGTTAGCACAGTTGTAAGCTAGCCCCAACCCATCATATGTGACTGTGTGAAAGGATACTGGTCACTCAGTATCCTGCGTTTCTACAAACGCACAAAGACAACACAAATACCAACATATTCAAAATAACAAGTTCAAATAAAAAAAGAAGAGAAAACAGAGGGTAAGACAAGCACGAGGAATCCAGACAGTCTGTTAACATCAGCTAATATTAGCCACTGGCTCGTACCGAGTAAAGAGTTCATTGCTTATAATTAAATAAAGGAAGGAGGGTCACAAAAAGATTACACTCTAATACTGTACTCCAGTTTTACAGAACCAAAGACACTCACCTTCTCGTTGTAAAGTTCTCCTCTCAGAACCTCAGGGGCCATCCAGTACGGAGAGCCCACAATGGCCAGAGGCTGCTTCTCTGAACCTTCACTGTAAAGAGAGGGGAGTGGACCGGTCTGTCATTAGGAACCTAATGTGAATGCTCTTCATGATCTATCTAATCACACTTAAAAAAATCCTGCCAATGATCACTTTGTAGATCATACATGAAAACAAGGAATATAACGTTTGAATATTAATTCCCGTTTATTTTGACGTGAGAACGATCAGAGCTGGAGTGGAGAATCGCTGGATTTGACTTTTTAATAGAAGGTTACGATGTTTCCACTTTCCTTTTAATGTCTGGGACACATTCTGGTACCTGTGCACAAACAGACCACGCTCTCTAACACAGACAAAACAGCTGCTTTGATCAAATTTATAGAAGCTCAGGAGAGAAAAGATTTGTCCTGCACCTGTAATCAGGGATCTTCTCTGCCAGGCCAAAGTCTCCCACCACAGCAGTGAACGTGCCATTCTCACAGCGAACCAGACAATTCTGCAACAGATAAACAGTCGAGAAATGAATATATGCAAACAACAGCTGGTAAAAACAGTCTCATTCTATAAAGAACAATGAGAGAGACAGAAGTACAATTTAAAAAGTTTCATTTTTGTCGTCGCTTTCATCAGTGCAGGTACGCGACTCGTGTGCCGTACCTTGGATGTGAGGTCCCTGTGGAATATGCCCTTACTGTGCAGGTACTGCAGTCCTCGGGCGATATCCAGAGACAGAGCCATCCTGACTCCCCACGACAGATACAGGTCACTGTCCAACAGCTGCTCCAGGTTACCCCCGTTTATGTACTGCACAGAAAGAGACGATAGGGTGAGCCAGACACAAGCAAGATCCAGAAATGCTGCAAGCTCATTTATCTCAAGAGGGAAGCTGTCCTGTGGTCTGACCAACTCAGGTGCCATGTCTCCCACTGTAAACCAGTCAGGGGATTCTTCCCAGCACACAGTTTAAAACATGTGTCCCAACCTCAGACCTGCTACCCAGTGCAAGAATTCACTGCATTAAGGAAAATATATGAATCAGGAAAGCTGCCCAAACACATGCAGAGCTGCTAAACGTGGGCTGGTTTAATCCCCTGGTCCTCCGGGGACCCTGATGGGCCTCTCTAAATGGGACTTAGCATTTCTTGCTTTTGAATGTTTGAATGTCGTCTTTGCACAACTTCTAAATGAATATAGGAGGAGAGACATGAGAATAAGGTGTAGCTGTGGAAACCTGGAAATGTTGTCAGCACAAAGAGGACAAAACAAAAGTCTTACCTCAGTCAAAGCGTGCAGCTGACCTTCATGCACACAAACCCCGAGAAACCTGACAGGAAGTCAAGAAACACGATTTAATCACTTCTACGTGTCAGTAACCATGGCGCCCATCCATCGATGGACAGCTTGGAATGTGTTGATGTGGCACCCCCTTGTGTCCCTCAGAGGAACGACAGAACATTTGTGTCACAACTTCAAAACTTTAGACTTAGTAAATTGTTATTATTACACATTTTAAGCTTCAATATGATTTGTTTTTGATCGGCCTTTTATGAGGGGAAATGAGATTTCCATTTTAAAGTCTACAAAAAGAAAGTGTAAAAAACCTTTTTTTGATTTTTTCTTTTGAGTGAACCTGTTAAAATGTGCTGAAGTTAACTCTGGCAAAGGTCTTATTCATGCAATAAATATAGAACAAACATTAATGTACAACATATACACAGTGCTTTTAAAAGCTATTTGCCCCCTTGCTCATTTGTATCTTTTTGGTATATGTCACACTTACATATTTCAGATTATCGAACAGATGTTAATATTAGACAAAGATCAGCAGAGTAAATACAAAAAGCATTTTTTAAAGGATGATTTTATTTATTTAAGGGGCAAAATGTTCTTCGAATCTCACTGTAATCAAAATCGAACATTGAATTTTTAATCAGCACATTTACACCTACCTAAGAATGTTGGGATGGCACAGCCTGTTCATAAGCTGCACTTCTCGTAGCATGTTAGCTTTGTTGCTAGCCAGCGTGTTCATTTTCAGTGCCATGACCTGCCCTGTGATCCTGTGCTGCACCTGGTACAGAGAAAGAGAAAGCCAAAGGCAGAGAATGATTGTTCACAGACTAACAGTGTGAACGTCTCTCCACCTCTGCTTCAACAAAGTCTGCCACAAAACCTCAAGTTGTGAAATTTAAGACCAGCATGTAACACAATCCTGTAACGTTGGACCCCGAGAACGCTGACTCTGTTCATCTGAATGTTTCATTGGGAGAAACGTTTGGTACAAGTGACTCGTCACAGCTGCACATTTTAGCACAATAGCCTCACGAGGCCATAAACTCGGTCTCCCTCGCCTTATTTTGATACGTACAGTTTGAGCTGCAGCTACAGTAGGTCATGTGGTCACCAGGGTCACTGACTGGTGCTTGCAAAGTTGATACAGTGTCTGCACCTCCAAGCACTTGCATGCGTTTGTGTTTGTGTGCGTATATTAATAGTACAGCTAATAGGCTTTCTGGATTTCCCATCACTCCTCCTGATCTGCACAAATCCACTGGGCTGCTACTGAGCAGAGCGCATGTGTGTGCACGCACGCACACACATACACACAACCAGTGCTTGTTAACAGTCTGAATGGCCCGGGAGTCTGGAGGTGTGGGACCTGATTGACCTAAAGCCAACCAGGGGGCAGCGGGTCAAACAGGTGGTGGGCGGGGTGTAGGGGACACCTGTGATGGCCCTGGTTTACCTGAGACAGGAGGACCTGGTGATGGCCTCCGGGGGGGCAGAGGGCAGCCAATGACTTTTTAGGCGGTGTTAATGACTCTCTGTGCAGCCTTCCTGTTCTCAGTCGTGGCTCCTGAGTATCAAACACCACTGAGGAGCTGTAGAAGGCCAGCAGCAGCTCCTGGTCCAGGTTATTTTTCCTCGGGGGAGGTGCAGTCCCTGTAAGGCCTTCTTTACTGGGTGATAGTGTTGTGGGTCCAGCTGAGATCAGCAGAGATGTGGGTGCCCAGAACCCACCAGTTCTCCACTTATAATGAGAGGGGAGTGGACCTGTCTGTGCCTCCTGAAGTCCATTATGAGTTCTTTGGTTTTAAGGATGTTTAGCTTCAGGTTGTTCTCTACCTCCACCCTGTACGCCAGCTCACCTCCATCAGAGATCCTACTGTTGAGTTGGGTGCTGTGATTGGACCTTCAAACTGACAAGAAGGAGACTTAAGTCCTGATACTGATAGAACGTGTTTATTGTAAAGTAAAAGTGAAAACATATGAAATAAAAACTGTTAAAGACTAACACTGCAGCAGCTGTCTCTGCTCCTCTGGTTGCATTTTGTGTGGTCTTTGTGCTGTTGTTGCTTATTGTGCACTGTAATGGAGTTCTTACACGAATAATATGCTCTGCTGTGTGACACAGAAAATCCAAGAACTCTACTGTAGTTTTATTGGGTGAAATTAGTTAGTAAACATGTTATTACTGTGTTTGCCACTTTCCTAATTTACTTTTTTGTATGTTTGTCACACTTAAATGCTTCAGACCATCAAACAAATTTAAATATTAGACAAAGATAACACAAGTAAACACAAAATGCAGTTTCCAGATGAAGGTGTTTAGCCCTGTGTTAAAGAGTGATCGCCTTCCAAACCTAATAAGTGGTTGGGCCACCCTTAGCAGAAGAACTGCAATCAAGCGTTTGCAGTAACTGTTAATGAGTCTCTTGCAGCACTGCTGGCCCACTCATCTTTGCAGATTTGTTGTAATTCAGCCACATTGGGGGGTTTTCAAGGACAAACCACCTTTCAAAGGTCATGCCACAGCATCTCAATCGGATACAGGTCAGGACTCAGCCATGCAGAGGACTCAGAGGACTCAGCCATGCAAAGGTAGACTTGCTGGTGTGTTTCGGATCATTGTCGAGTGAGCTTCAGCTTGAGGTCATGAACAGATGTGCGGACATTCTCCATCATGTTTTGGTAAACAGCAGAAGTCGTGCTTCCATTTACCACAGCAAGTCTTCCAGGTGCTGATGCAGCAAAACAGCCCCAGACCATCACGCTGACACCAACATATGTTACTGTGGTATGATGTTTTCTGAAATGCTGTTACTGTTACTCCAGATGTAATGGGACACACACCTTCAACATTTGTCTCGTCAGTCCACAGAGTGTTTTTCCAAAAGTCTGGGCTAGGGCTGGGCCATATCATACCGTTCACGGTAATACCAGTATAATGTTGGGCAATGATAGGAAAATGAAACATGGCGATAGAATATGGGTAAAATGCACAGGCGCAGTGCCTTTGTTTACATACGCACACGGTGGCAAAAGCATGGCGGCGACGCAGAATGAGGGGGGCGAAAGTGGATCGTTGAATGAAACGATGAACCTGAACTGGTTTGTAAAAATGCTGCAGCTTCACTGGTGTGGAACTGGTTTAGCTTTTGTCCATCAGATACACAACAAAGCACTATTTTTGGTAGAGCATGCTAGCGGGCCGTCGTTATTACCGTGTTGTTTGGAAAAACGGCAACACTTAAAATCAATCCTTTGATTTTTCTGAAAGTCGACAGTGCCCTTATAATCCCGTGTGCCTTATGTATGAACTCTGGTTGTGTTTACTGACTGGAAACGATTTTATGTGCACGGCGCTCGAAAATCTGTCAAATGTTTCAGTACGACTTTGCTAAGCTACGAAGCCGCACCGCTTGATGGATTGTGGGAGCGTTACGGCTATCGTAGGCGGAGCCTCGCGGAGTGATATGTACTGTGCTTCAACATAATGTTACCGTATTGTGTGTGTATATAAGCTCTTTTTAAGTTTTGTGGATGTTATACATGGTTATGCTGAGGATGTGTCGGCCAGTTTCCACTGGAAATACCTTTTGGTTAAACTGTCAGCGAGGAGTTTGCACTGTTACATTTTTATATAACTTTAATGCAGATAAAAAACAGCTGCTTGTTTAAGTGAAAATACATTGATGGTTTTTGCACTAATAAAGTTGTGGAGTTGTAAAGTATTTTGTCTCGTGTCGATTATATCATCAGTTATATCGTTATCGCAAAATATCGTGATAAATATTTTTGGTCACATCGCCCTGCTCTAGTCTGGGGGATCATCAAGATGTTTTCTGGTAAACGAGTCTTTATGGTTCTTTTGCTCAGCAGTGGGTTTCGTCTTTGAACTCTGCCATAAGAAAGACTCTGGGCAATAATGGCCTGGAGTCATGAACACTGACCATAACTCTCTCCTGTACTCACTCTACACCTACGGCTGCACGGCCACTAGCAACTCCAACATCATTGTGAAGTAGGGCTGAACGATTATGGAAAATAATCTAATTGCGATTTTTTGCCCCAATATTGCGATTGCGATGCAATATGCGATTATTTTTTAAGGTCTTTGTCTTCTGTATTATTAAACAAAGACAAGCAATACATCATATAGTATGGCCAATACTATATTACATAAATTTTAAACTGTTCTTTCCTGGAAGACAGACCTCTGTTATGATGACATGAGGTGATGCATGAATTGATGACTGACATTTTTATTTAACTTCTTCAATCACAACAGTATATTTGAACATACACAATAGTTTATTTTAGCTTACAAAATCTGAGCATAAAGTGCTGGCAAGGAACCCTGGTGTAAACATTAAAATGAAAGTCAGTACAATGTGCAGATTGCAGAAATATACATAAAAAAAATCAGTGGCTTTACCACACTCAGTTTTTCGACATCTGTGAACTACTAGACAGTCATTCAATTAAAAAATAATATTAAATAAATAAAACTAATAAATAAAAAATACACACATCTTACTGATCTCTGCAGTCAGTAACATTACACATAAAGTGCAAACATAATAGCAATTGTATAAACACACACACACAAACACGCCTTTAAAGTTTAAGGCGTGAAATTGGACGGTCTAGTTTGATTAGCGTCACCGCTGTCTCGGAGGAGTTTAATAAACTCGCCGTCTGCTTCTTGCTATCTAAAATATAACCAGACACTGGCGTAAATTCTCGACTGTCTCATACTTCTGTTTAATAAGTTTTCTGTTTGACGTTTAGTCAGCTGTGTGAAAACCAAGGAGGAACCCACCCGGGGGATTAATAAAGTTTTATTTTATCTAATCTAATAACTTTAATCTCAGCCAAACCGATTTACTCACGAACAAACAAAACACTGAAAAAAGCCCAACAATAACATTTTTAGGTTGTCTAAGTGACTTATATATTACGTTTAACCCGAGCAGCGAAACTCCGCGGTGATCTGAAAATGATGTGCCGGGATTGTGCCGTTCTCGGCCGCATCAGTAACCCTCGAGCTCCCGGCTAGCTGTCGAGCTGGTGGGTAGCAGACGCCTCTGAAAACGTCGAAGCACTTTTGCAAATATGGGATATCTTGATAAACCGAGCAGATATTTGATGTTTACACAACTACTTTCTCGCCTGAAAATATGTTAAAAGTTTATTTTGTGACCCAGAAAGATTAGTATGAGTAATTTTAAAACTTAGTAGCGGCCGCCATTGTTGGAAACTGGAGTTTGGCTGGGCCGCGCTATGAATTCTGGATATGGTAGTAATTTGGACAGCCTTCGGCGCGTCGCTGTGACGTAATCGGTCTACAAATGCGGCCTCAGGAGGATGCAGCCCATGAATTTGGACATGTCCAGAGTATAATTGCAGCCTTTGCGGTTAGAAAATTGCACTTGATCATGTCGCGATATTATCGCAAATGCGATATATCGTTCAGCCCTATTGTGAAGTATGCAGAGGACACTACAGTGGTGGGTCTTATCACCAAAGGTGATGAGACGGCTTACTGCTGTGCCATTGAGAGCGTCCTCACTGGATGCATCACCACCTGGTACGGCAACAGCACCGCTTACAACCAGAAAGCTCTCCAGAGAGTAGTGCGGTGTGCCGAAAGGATAATTGGAGGTGAGCTTCCCTCCCTCCAGGACATCTACAGGCAGCGGTGCCTGAAGAAAGTGAGGAGGAACCGAACCAGCAGACAGAGCCTTTTCCATCAGGCCATCAGGCTGCTGAACACTTCATAGACAC